CAAATTTAAAAGTAAACAAAAAGGACACTATCAAGGAAAAGAGGGTTTTAAAGGTATTTTTATAATATAGCAGAAAAACGTGATCACGGGAGCACAGAGAAGAAACATAACTTTTCCTTGAGATGTGAGAATAACAAGCACAACAAATTTGACGGCTAATAATCTGAGATTTGCCTGTGTAAACGGGGTGATCTGACCGATTGAGAAGCAGCCATTTGTATTAGCAATTGAGAAAAGGTGTGTAACGTTCGTAATGGTCTGATTATGCACACTTCGCATAACTTCGCACAACTTCGCATAAACTTCAAGCTATAATTTCGTATGTACTTTGCACGTATTTTGTTTGTATTCCATTACCCAGAAAATAGCAGACCATTTAAAAACTTAGGAATCTGTTGAGTTTAGATTTTGCTTCACATTTTCTTAAGTTGCATCTTTATTGCACTGGTACAAATGGTTGTGCGAAGTATGCGTAATCAGACCTTAATTTTGAAGTTTGCTATTTCTGTTTTGCTTCTTTCGGGAAATGTTTAGTTATTTGCCGGACGTTTTTGGGTGGGGGCGGAGGGGGCGTGGGAGTGGGCGTGGGCCTCCCACAGACCCCTAGGGAACCATTTTAAAATGGGCGAAAAACGGCATTTACCGAAGGAAATTGAGCAGTTTGAAGTGAAATAAAACCCAACTCATAGAACGTGTGGGGTTTTTAAATAAAACAAATTATCCCACTGAACACCTTTCGCAGAGAACACCTTGCGCATTAGGATTATAACCTTATACCATGTCCCCACCGGAGCTAACCACGTAGTTATGGCCAATGAGTTGGTTATCCCGATAACCCACTTGATTTAGCGTAGTTTCGCCATATAAAAATGACAGTACTTAACCATTTCACTGAGATGGTTAAAAGCTAACCAACTCGAAACCACGTCGAAAGTCTGATACAACCCTGTGTTTTCCCGCCATCTGTGGGTCATTAGCGTTAAAATGTAAAAAATTCGTTCCCTACTAGTGTTTGGAGTTTACTAAGATCAGATCAAATTTACTCCGGTTTTGAAAATTTTTTAAATCTACTCCTCTTCTCCGCTTGACTTCAAAACTACTCCGTTTTTTTTTCATTCCTGTTATGCCCCTCTTGGGGCCGTGTTTTGAGTGTTCACCACCGGTTTCAGTAAAAAAATTGTAAGTTAGCCAAATTTCACTGTTAAAAAGTTATTCTTTCATAGCAATGCGCCAATAAAGTAACTTCGTTATTTTTTGATGTATGGCTGTCGAAATTGGCGGATGCAGAACTATACTTAAGTAGTATACTTAAGTAGAAGAATTAAATTTATATAAAGTAGAAAAGGTTTAGATCCTATTGCTCTTTAAAAAATTAAGTGTTAGATACCTTCTACTTTATAGAAAATGCTAAAAATTACCTAAATATGTAACATATTATATTATAATAGAAAATATTTAAGTCAAAAAATTAATGTCAGAAACGAAAATAATAAAATCAATCTAGTACGGAATTTTTTTTTTGCTCCGATTTTTGCAGGTTTAGTCCTGAATCGAGTTTTGGAAGTCCGAACACTGTTCTTTACTGTTCTATAAAAATGTCAGAAACGAAAATAAAAAAATCAATCTAGTACGGAACATTTTTTTTGCTCCGATTTTTGCAGTGATTTAGTCCATGAACCAAAAATACAAGATCACGCCTTCTTCTTAGTAGCCCGTTATAATCGCATTTAGGAAAAAAGTTGGGCGACTTTGACATTAGACGTTTGTTTACATTTGTTCGTTGTTTACAATTTGGTGGTGGCTTTTTACTGCAATTTTCTTAATTTTCGCTTGTGACAACGTGTGCACCCATAAGTTGCATAATAAAAATTATTATTCGTGCATTCAACAATTACGCGGTTTTTTTTGTTCTCTTCGTTGTTTACTTCTTACAGCAAAGATGGCGTCGAGACTTCAACAGCTAGAAAATAACTTTTTTCTTTCTTTCGGGAAGGCGTGATCTTGTGTCTTTCGTTCATGGATTTAGTCCTGAATCGAGTTTTGGAAGTCCGAACACTGTTCTTTACTGTTCTATAAACCTCAAACCGCAGTGTGGACAGCAATAGTTAGTGATGTGGTTAAGTACGATTTGAGATGGTTAACTTTTTGGTGGGGACGGATAGAATTCTCCTTTTGGTGTGCACCAACTGCATGAACCAAAAATACAAGATCACGTAAGAACGCGACGTTGTATTTGTAACAGGTTTTGAGAAAACAGTTTGCGAAAGCGGGTTCGTCAGCTGACGTTTGTTTACATCACAAGCACCACTATTTTGCACTTTTATTCAAGTAAAGAAGAGTTAATTCAACATGACAACACATTTTAAAGCATTCTGTTGCATCAGTTTACCTAAATTGTGCGTTTGAAGTGGCTGACAATAATTTTGGCAAATTTTGGTTTTCGTTGTTTTTTTGCTTTGTTTACTTTTCGCTCGTTTTCCAGTGAAACAAGATGGCGGAGAACCCGCTAAAAAATCGACTTTTTTCACTCTCTTGCTCTTACGTGATCTTGTGTCTTTCGTTCATGCACCAACTGGAGCTACCGCCCCAGTGTTGTAGCCTTGGGAAAGGATGAGGTAACTAGAATTCCCTTTCTGTGTGGTAAACCTGGGGCTGCCGCCCCAGTGATGTCTATTATTTATTAAATTAAATAAATTAAATTAAATTAAAATTTAATTAAATATTCTCTCATTCTTTTGCATATTTTGGAGTTTGACAGCTGAGCTCCGATTCTCAAATACAAAAAATAAATATTTTGTTCGATAGAGATGATTGAGCTGAACATAACGGTGTATTTATTTTTTGCGGAAACAACAACTACAGAAGTTATTAAGGGTCAAAGTTCAAATTAAACAATTCTTAAATCAACATTTATTGAAAACGAATGCATGGATTTTAATAATTTTGATCTAATTTGATAGGAAATTTAATTCCCTTTAATCTGATATAAATACAATCCTCCCTCAGTAGAATTTTCCTTTCTGTGTTGCCGCAGAAGAGAAGCGGAATTCCTTTCTGTGTACATTAATTCGATTTTTGTGAAAACTAAACAAGGCATATGTAAAGTATGTATATCAAATTAAAGGGAACTAAATTTCCTATCGATTGAGAGCAAAACTTCTAAAATCCATGCATTCGTTTTTAAGAAATTTTGATTTAAAAAATTGTTTAATTTGAACTTTGACCCTTAATAACTTTCGTAGTTGATGTTTCCGCAAGAAAATAAATATACTGTTATGTTCAGCTCAATCATCTCTATATACCCCAATATTTATTTTTTTGTATTTGCAGAGCTATTCTCCATTTGTTCCAAAATTTTAATTCATAGTCGCGCCAAAATGTCAATGATCTCTATAGATCCCCATATTTTTTTTAAATTTGAGAATCCAAACTATTCTGCGTTTATCCTCAAATTTTGCTCATCTTCTGAAATTTGACAGAAATGACACTCTGAAAAATCACGTACTCAAATTTATTTCGATTACTCAAATGTGAAAAACTTGCGTGTGTGCGTAGAAAAATTCACGCCGGGAATATTAATGCACTCTATACCTGCTATGGGCGCTCGCATACGAAACATCGTAAGGCCCTGTCTCCACAGGAAAACACTGATGTCGTGATAACCATGTCACAAAATATATTTCCAATGGAGACCGCCTATTTCTTATGTGCTGCAATATATGTCAGCGCTTATTGCTTGACATCTATTGCAGGCAATTCGATAGTTTGACAGCCATATTTTCATTTGAAAGAAAGCGTGCTGGTGGTAACATCGATGAAATTTTGATATTAAATCAAAATAAAAATCTGTTCCGTATTGGATAATTTATGATTACGTTTTAGGAAATTATTTAGCTAGTTTTTTAAAGATTTAAATGTTTTTAAACACCGAAATTGAGAGAATGTTGTCTGGTGGCGTCATGCGGCAAATGCTTATTTCAAGACATCAAAGTGCCCACACACAAAAACTTGCAATCACATTGCTCGTCAAAATGACAGTTGGTAGGCCATCGCTGTTCGCCTGTGGAGTTCTGCAGTAAGAGATATATCGCAGGTGTAGACCGTTCATCGCAGGAAGTATACGATAAGTATACGAGTAAGAGATATCTCATACCATTTATTGCATACGTAACTATGCGTTTAGCCACTGCTTTTTCGCTTTGCTTTGATTCCGAGTAGGAAAAAAGCGGTGTTATTCGGAGAAACGTTGTTCAGACACAACCAAATAAATGAAATAAAATTTTCGCAACATTTATAAAAAACTTACAACAAATTCGCACTGCAATGGTATGCGATCAAATGCCCACGTACAAAAATTTCCCTGTGATAAGATTTCGCATGCGATAAAGCTGACAGTTCGTATGCGGGCGCCAGAGCGCAGGTATAGACGTGCAGTTAGGTTGGCTGTGTGAGCGTAATTCTATCAATTTTCCCATTCTCCATCAGGAGATAATTATCTGCTAGAAAAGAAAAGTAACAAAGCCAAAAGAAGAAGAATAATGGGAAAATCGAGAGAATTACGCTGACAGAAAGCGAAATAAAGAAATAGTAGAGAAACGCAAAACTTGCAGAAACTACCAAGTAAACAGCTGATCGATGTATTTGACTATTGAAAATATTTGGCGCGAATTTTTGTTTATCCATTTTGACAGCTGCTAATTTCTGCTAGTAAAAATTTTACTAGCGGAAATTAGGATAGCCAAAAAAATAAGAGCGTAAGCACGAGAGAGAGCTGCTAGTTTCTGCTAGTTTTTTGGGTTAAGAAACGCTTTCCAGCAGAAATTAGTGATGATTTGTGATACATAATTAACTGTTAAGAAACAAAGCAAATACTTTTCTTTGGGAAGCTACGGCAACTCTGATGGCAACGCTGTTTGGGACTTATTGCTCTTTCTTTTCATCGTCTTCTTTGGTCCGAAGAAAAGCAACCCTGGCCACAAAACATGAAGAAAAAAATAGAAAAGTGGAAGAAACTGCAATTAAAAAAGAAATCAGTTGAAAATATTGGGCAAGTGGAAAATTTGTTAGCTGTGGTTGTTCCAATTCGTGACATATGTATTTCAGTGAAAGTATCGTGTTACCAGTTAAAATATGTTCATTAATTAATTGTAAAACTTAAAGCAATTCCACCATTTCAATCACTGCAAATGAAGGGAAAAATTAATGTTAGATGTAAAAATAGAAAGTGATCGAAGTGCGAGGAAAGGACAAGAGAACGAAACTTCATTTGTGCATACAAACATACGTATGTATGTATGCATTGGCTTACGAGGGACCATTCAAGGCAATGGTTATAAAAGTTTTTATTTGGTCAAAGTAAACAAAAAATTGGTGGAAAATCTCCGAAAATATAAGCTGTAAAGGAAAAGGACATTGCCACATAAAAATAACATTTTAAAACGTTTTTACGGCTTTAAGACAAATACTGCACGAGAATAAAATGGGTAAGTAAATGCTAAAAATTTCTCCATCAATTTATCATTGTTGTTAAGAGTCTGGGCAATTTGAGCCGTAGTTGATGTCTCTAGTATATCTATGGTCACAAGCAAGAGTCCCTGAAGGCGAAAGTCCTACTTTTGAAGAAACCCCTACATATATCGTCGCCTGGGTAAAGTTACTTTCGGCAATATTGGGGGAAATCGGTGTTAAATATTCATAATTTCTCAAAAGCTGTACAATCGTTTTTGACCAAAATTTAATGATTGAATGTACATACTATTTAAAGTATAAAACCACATTTTCTTAAATTTTCAGTAAGTAATTTAGCTTTTACAACCACTTTTGGTAGTAGTGCACTTTAGCGGAACCAGGTCAAAATGGACGGAAAATTTCGAGAATGGTAGCAATCGACGCATCTTGACGCCAATAATTATAATCCGAAATTAATATTTTTAATACATTTAAGAGTTATTTGCAAAAATCACTTGCACTTTTCGCACTATGGTTTGTGAATTTGATGAAAATAATGGAACTCAACGCGTATTTATACGTTTTTGTATATTTGTGATATTTTAAGTACATTTTCGCGATTTTCTATATTTAATTGCAAAATTCTGGTGTTGAAAATCGGCACAAACAATTAAAGTTAATATATATAAGATGGAGGAAAACTGGTGCTGCCCCTCTGAAAATACATTTTGTATTTCAATTTCAAGTAATTGTTCGTAGCTGACTTCTCTAGTGCCTTTATCGCCCCAAAATTACCCGTAAAAATAGCCGCTTTCTTAAAACACATCCTAATGCATAGCTTGATGGCTTGTTTTATCACTACCAGTTCAACCCATCATAGATGCCAGTTTCTCATTTCACGTAAACATATAAGACATATCGTCCCGTTTCTGCCTTAACCACGTATCTACAATTTTTGGGAAAACAAATAATACCACTTATAACAGCTGTTTAAGCGTCACACTATTTGAAAATAGAACAAATACTTAATGAGGGTGCTCACTACTGTTAGTGGAACCAGAATATTAAGTAAAAAATGCGTTTATAGTATCCTAGAGGAAGAAATTAAGCATTTTTTCTTACAATCTCTAAAATACCCCTATTGCAGATACATGGCAGAAACAGGACCATATTCTGCCTCAAATCGTAAACCGCACATCCAACTTTGTCACCAACTACTGATGCATCTGTAGCAGGGACCGCAAATAACGATTATCCTTTGAAATTTCAACTCAAAAAATCACGCGGAAAGAGAAATGCTACGTGCATAAGGAGTAAACCAATATATTTCTTATTACTCGGAGTACCTTCAGCGGCACTGATTTTAAATTTTAATTTTTACTTATAAAAATCAAGTTTAATCATTATATTTTGAGTTTTATGTTTTACCCAGAAAATAATCGTTATGTTTTGAGTTTTATTTTTTGCTCGGAAAATAATCGTTACGTTTTAAGTTTTATTTTTTGCTCGGAAAATAATGGTTACGTTTTAAGTTTTATTTTTTGCTCGGAAAATAATGGTTACGTTTTAAGTTTTATTTTTTGCTCGGAAAATAATCGTTACGTTTTAAGTTTTATTTTTTACTCGGAAAATAATCGTTATTTCTTGAGTTTTATTTTTTGCTCAGAAAATAAAACTTAATTTTTGCGTATGCGCATGCGCATGCGTGAATAGACAGGGGGCGGCTGCATTGAACCTTTAACGCCACTGTGGAGTGGGTAATGAAAATACAGATACCAGGGCAGAAACAAAAAGAACCACATTTCTAAAGAAAAAGTGCAAAAAAGTGCATACGAATACGCAAAAATTACGTTTTATTTTCTGAGCAAAAAATAAAACTCAAGAAATAACGATTATTTTCCGAGCAAAAAATAAAACTTAAAACGTACCGATTATTTTCCGAGCAAAAATTAAAACTTAAAACGTAACCATTATTTTCCGAGCAGAAAATAAAACTCAGTTAATAACGATTAAAAAGTGATTATTATAATAAAACTTATAACCGTTACGGTCCCTGATCTGTAGCCATTACATAAAAACCTTCTTGCTTTACCCTCGCCTGTTTTTCTCTGTACCTTATTTTCAACACGTCGTTGACGTCATTTTTCGATACCCCCAAATGAAACAATTCTAGCTTTAGACGAGAAAACCTTACAAACTGAACATTTCACACTTAATCTGTCAAAAATATGCTTAAACTTGTTATATACTTAACTGTAACTTGATTTGCAAGCCGGATATTCGCCTAAATATCTTCTTAGCTCTGTATTTTCCAACCATTGTTTGGTCAGTTCTTTTGCAGGCAAACAAGCCGCTCTGCTAAGTGGGGGCAACTCGCCTGAAAGCGAGTATCTGTTGTTGTAGTTGTTGTAGCGGCTACAACAACCCCACCCAGATCGGCTGATATCTCAGTCGTTGTCGTCGAATTCCACTAACGGCAGCCCCAAGAAGCGTGCAGCCTCTATGGGGTCGGTCCATAGAGACGACGCCGTTAGGATTGTGGGGTTTTACGGGCATGCGAAGAGATGTTTCGAGTCGTGAGGGGTCTCTCCGCATGCCGGACATTCGTTCGGCACATCCGCATTTAACCTACTCAGGTAGGAATTTAGCCTGCTGCAGTAGCCAGAGCGAAGTTGGGCTATTGTTGTTCTGGTCTCCCGAGGCAGAGGGAGCTCCGTCGCGTCAATGTCCGGTGTTTGTGTGCCTAGAACGGCATTCACAGGTCTTGAGTCTACATAACTCGAGACTGCGTCCCTGTGAATGCCGTTCGGGGCCTGTCTGTGAGCTGACGGGTCCAGAGGCTGCTTAATGAACCTCTGGACTTCGTCCGTCAGTTCATATAGATGCCTCCTGACGTGCCTCGGCGAGGGCTCCTCTACAAGCAGCTGTCTATTTGGGTGGCCACATCTGTGGCTCCCAACAAGAAACTGCTTGCAGAGCATCGTGTCCTAAGTGCTGTATTTTGTACCGTCTGTAGCTTCGTCCACTGCGTCCTACTAGTCCCCGGCGACCACACTGGTGCTGCGTAGTTTAAAACCGGCCGGCCTATTGCCTTGTATGTTGCCAGCAACGTTTCTTT